GGCGAGGAAGTGAGCGGGGGTGTTCGCCACCCCCGACGCACCCCCGCGCACACTCGGCGGCGGCGGCTTGGTGGGTTTTGGCAGCAGCAGTGATGGCCTGACTGCGGGCTGGAGAACATGCGGCTGGCGCTGCTCATGTTCGACGTCGTGTTTCTGTTCTTCCTCTTCCTGGTGGGGGTGTCGTGCCTCGTCTACTACCTGCCCCCGCAGCCCCCCAGGACGCCCAGCTACCTGATCGTGGCGCCGCGCCGCCCCGACGACGAGGCGCCGCCGACGCTGCACAGACACTCACCTGTTGAGGACGTCTGATGTGCTGGATGAGGGACCAGACAGTGCCTGGCCTGTGATAACCGAGAGCAAGGCCCAGCAGTGCTATGTGTGTGCCGAGAGCAGAACTTGACGGGCGGGCTGCCGAGGAGGCCGCCGAGGGGTCCCTTTCGGGGGTGAGGCTGCGCTTGAGCCAGGTTGCGGCACACGTGACTGCACTGATTCTTACACTTTAAGCAATTAGAATGATTGGTTCAAATGAAAAATAATGCTGCTTCGGGAGAATTCAAATTGTTCACAGAAAGAAAGAAAGACTTGACCGGATTCCCTTTTTAGACATCCGATAAAATTATTCCCAAATGGTTACTGGAAATTTATTAAAAATCGTTCTTAAAAAGGGCTTCAAAGTTAAAAGTAAATCCGAAATGTTTTAGATCATTTGTTATTTGATATTGAAACAGTTTTAAGTTTATTGGCCCAAAATTCTCATAGGAATGAAAAGTTTTAAAAAAAATTTAACCTTTTTAAAATGATTCATCCCAAGTTCATCATGAAGACATATTTTAATAGCGACCCTTCAATATAAGAAAGAAAACAACTAAAACCAAATGGCCAGCATATTTCTTAAAAAATTATCAATATACCTTTTTTTCCAATTCCGGTTTAGAATAAGCTGTTCTTTAATATAAAAAATTTGTCGGATTTTTGAGAATTTGACCAAAACATGCAGCCGTAAACTTGTAATCTCTCTCATAAATGGAGGTAGAAATCAACACTTTGTATTTTTTGGCTCATTTTCCCCCACAATCTCTTTGGCGGTTGAATTGTAAATTAACACCGATTCCAAACCTGGTTTAATTAGAGATGTTCCCATCAGAAACAATCTCCGATTCAATCGTCCCCCTCGAATTTCCATATTAATTTACCGCGCCTCGCGTGTCTGATTGCGCACCAAAATCAAATTTCCCTCTGTGAACGAGCATGTACGGCAATCACGATTATTTGCCCCCTTTGCATTTGTCCCGAGGGCCTAAAGTGCGATAGTAGTTTCCATTAAGTAAACTAATTTCTGCCGGCGGCGCCGCGAAGCAGAGAGGAAACGCAATTAACTCCGCACTGATTATTTTAACTCGGTAAAACGAAGCGACTTTGTGCGAAGACGGGAATAAAATTAACAAAAGTCGAGATAAATAAAAAAAGAGAAATAGACACCAATCTTCCACTTAAAACAAGTATAATTTGTCAGCAGTCAATGAGATTAATCAATTCAGTCCCATGTTTGCCGCACGCAAATAATAAGAGATATACACGAGCTCTCTTTTTGGTGTTTATTTTTTAGAGAAACGGCTCAATTGACTGTAAGTGTTAGCCAAACAGAGAAAGGGTTACGACATATCCAGTGTTTGCGCACAGTGATGGCGCGCGTCGATGGGAAATATCGTATAAAATCACAACTTAATCCTCTAGATATGTGAATGTGCTAATTAGTTGTCGCTTCCGTTCAGCAAGTGGGCTTATACAGGCGTCGATTTTCACGCCGAACTTGAAACACTCGCAAACGAATGTATCAGTACATAATTATATCTATAAAATACAATTCCGAGCTGGGGGGAACGCATCTCGTAGCCTAATTAGCTTTCACGAGAATCGCGGGCTGCTTTAAAATGATGCACAAACAAACATCCGCGGCAGATTAATTTCCAGATTAGGCGCCCGCGGGGAATTCCGGCAGCAATATTACATGCATGGATACGTTATGACGTTAAATTTGAATTCGGCGCCAATTCTTGAAGATTGAAATAATTAAAAAAATTAAAAATCAAATCAAATCGCAACATAATTTTTTTATTACATAAATAAATTTTTTCACTAAAATTTCTTTAAAAAAAAAATGATAGAAATTAAAAAAATTACAAACGTAATTCAGATTTTTATTTAATGACTTTCAGGTTTGCTATTTTTAAGCAAATAATATGCTAGTTTAGCATTCATATTTTTTTTTTAAATTCACTGCACTTTTTCCATTCTAAAAAATTGGCGTCAAATTTGAATCTCAATGATATTGTTATATTATTAGTCAAGCATTACAGGGATTTTGTACCAATCAGATACTGTTCAGATAAACTTGATTTAACTTTTCAACTCTCGCAGTCGCTGTGTAAGGTGCTCAACTTTGCTCTGACGCAATCTAGCATTCGATTCATTATTCCCTTCATCGTCGGCGGCGGATTCGCTCAGTCCCGTGACCGGTTGGTTCGCCGTCACCATTCACCAGTCGTCTGTGTTTCGTTCGTCCGTGGAGACAGACAGACAGACACCGTCGCGTGTTGTTGTACCAGAAAGAGAAAATTAAGTGCATCGACCCTGGTGTCCAGACTAGAGATGCCCCTGCCCGAGGGTGGGCGGAGAAGGAATGCCTGGCGCGTGGCTCTGGAATTGTTGGCCGCTGGAATTCCTTTTGAAGGAGCGAGCAAATATTTTGTATAAAACTGACGACCACACACACACACATACACACACACATTGAACAATTTAAACACGCATAGCCTGTACACACGCGAGACAATACATTTTCAGTTTAAAGCAAGTTATTTGCGCCTTCTTTCTCTCATTAACCCTTTGGTGTGACGGCGTGATTTATGGAGCCGAAGGGTAGCGAGGGAGGGTTGTTAATTTTTTTTTCCATTGAGTGACGACGCTTGCCGTGGTTATTTATTGTGGTGGAGTTTTTTTTCGTTCAAAATTTAACGCCGACGCCCCCCGAACGCGAGATTTACGAGCTTTTGTGTAATGCTGCGGGGAAAATTAAATCGCTTTTGCTGTAAGGGATTCGCCGCTTGTAAGACGCTAACCAGATTTTTGGCTTCATTAATCACACTCTCGTTGGATTTGCGCTCCTTTGTGAGACTCATCGGATTTAATCAAAATATGCATCAGGCGCAGGCGATAATGGAAGCTAACGCTGTTCTTTCACAAATTCCCATTATGTTTGCAACATTTTGTAGAAAATTGTTTTCTAATTAAAAAAAAGATGAATTTTATTTTTGAATATTTGTGACAACATTAATTTTATTTTATATTTTATTTAAAAATTATTAGATCTTTTCAAGTTTAAATCATTTTTTTTTTTAAATTTTTAACCGCATTACACGTTTATTAAAATTGCTCTGTTGAATTGTAAAAGATTTTCAATTTTAATTGTTTTCAATTCGCCAACAATATATTTTTATTTTCTTGTCTACACATGAAGTTTTAAGAATATTTACCCAAAAAACTTTGTATTGAAATTGTTAAAGCTTCTTGTTTGATGCCATGTTGTAGCAGTGCAAAGATAATTATTTATCAATTGAATAATTATGTGTTTTTTTTTTATTGGAAAAAGATTTTTATTGTTTCAAATGAGTGGGAGTCAGGAATTTCCTTATCAAATGAATAATTAGAAGATTAAATAATTACAATTTGTCGGTTTTTGTGATGGTTTCAACAATACAATTATAAATTTCAAAACGTATATTGATGCATAGTATCATATTAAATGTATTGTGAAGGGTTTTTTCATGTGAAGCCCGCTCTTATATTTTTTAAATTTCTTCCAAATTAGAAACTGATTTTCCTTATTTTAAATGTTTAGTTATAATTTTCTTTGTCAAGATTTTAGTTTTTTTAACTTTATTATTTCTTTTAATCTCCAAACAAAAGTTATCCATGATAAAAAAAAATAATGATTCTCAAAAAAATACAAAGCTTCAATTTCAATTTAAGAGCATTTCATCCCAAAACGTATTGATAAAACCCTGGAATTTTTTAATATCAGAAAAACTTGCCCGTTCTGACATTTATTGCACACCGCAGTGTTGCAAAATTTCATTCTCCCTTTCACGTTGCAAACATCCGGAAATCGATTTTCGCGACGAGCAATATCGGCGCGAGGAATTTGTGCCTCTCGTTACGGTTATTATTAGTGCCCGGCCAGCGGCTTTTATTTACTAACCGCCTGATAAATAAACGGGCATTACACACCAGCGATCGATTCTCCGTCTTGGCTGCGGGGGCGTCGGCATTCCGCAAAGGCATCTCGGCTAATTGATTTAATCTCGTCCATGCAGATGCAGCGCCTTGAGAGTGAGATTTATTGTGTGGAGACCTAGAGAGGGGCGTCAATTTTCATACTTGCAGCATCTGGGTCTCAAAAGACGCCATTAATCAATACAAACGTGCATTTCATGAAAGGGAATATGGTGAAAGGATCTCGGTGAGAAAAATTGCAGTTTGATGCAGTTCCAGCATAATGGAGTCTGAATTGCTTGTTTCCTGAGAGCGGAAAAAATGTATAAGAACGTCGCTTTTCAATTCAAAAGTTCATGAAAGGGGAAAAAGGATATATAAAACGAGTTTTGTGCTTTGAACGACCTTACAAGTTAGGCCGTTTTCGTTTTTCTCCGGCTGAATGGTAATTAAATTTTCATCGCGAGCCGGAAAACGTTATGCCCTTAGGAGGGAAAAGAAAATTCCAATCTTGGGTCGGCGCAAAGTTGGCCGTTCGGCTCTGACTTATTTGATAAATTAACAACTTTTCTCTCCGGACAGATTTTTCACACGCCATATAATAACGTAAAAAGTACATTTTCCGGTTCGTGAGAAATTGTTTTTTTTTTCTGACGAAAGTTAGTTTGTCTCGTCTCTTGTCATCGGAAAATTGACTGCAGGGCTGATTGTGTTTTGTCCTGGCACAGAGAATGGCCGAGGTGTCGGTGGCAGAAGTGCTGGAGCTGCGGGCGAGCGACGCGCTGACCGAGCCCGAGGTGTGGAACTTGTTGCGAGGACTGCTGCTGGCGCACACGCAAGGTAAGTCGACGATTACGGATTACTTGCTCGCCGCCGGATTACGCGCCGAGGGACGCCAACGCTCGTTGCGTGCTGCCGCCGTTAATTGATACCCAGAATTAGCAAAAGAGCTGAGCGTTTTCCATTCAAAAAGCTACTCCTTTGATTATAAAATCGATTAAACAACTCTTGATTTATTTATTTTTTTAAAGTTGATTACTCGTTTCTAGATTTTGTTTAAATTTGATTGCAAATTGTCTATATCAGTTTCAATTTTTTTTACTTATATACAATAAAACCTTGATTTTTATCAAGTCATTTGACAATTATGTATAAAATTTGGTATTCTCCTGATGAACGGACTTTAAAAAGTCACATAATTCAAGTAAAAAAAAATGAGATTTAGTATTGAAGAATGTTGACTCGTGGGATTTTTTTTGTTAAGAAGTTGTTTTTAAAAAGCTATTGGCTAATAACCAATCATGAAAAGGTTCGTTATTAATTTACAGTCAGGCAACTTTCAACAAATTTTTCAAAGAAAATGGTTGCAGAAATAGGAAAAAAATATTTTATAGATAGAGATAGATGAGATTTTTTTTTTTTTTTTTATAGATGATCGCTTTTTTTATAAAAAAAAAAAATGAAACTAAATCAAACTAATCATTTTCCAGACTAGTAAGAAGGTTTTTTTTATATATTTTATTAACCTTAGGAATTGAACCGTTCTTTCTAACTAATTTATAAAAAAATCATTAGTTATTTTGAGCTAGGTCTGCTACATATTCAATTTTTCTATACCTCAATGGCCATTAATTTAAAATCAATTGTTTCACGTTGACCGCCAGAAGCATTGTTACGGTACTACACCTATTTTTAGAACATAACTGCTTTTTGAATAAAATGGATTGGGAAATGGATGAGGAAAAGCTCGTGTAAGCTTTGTAACATGAATGGCTTTAATTGTGGAATGTGGTACATGGAATATTAATTGGATACGGTGGAGAGGCTTTAAATAATATCCACCCACTCTAGATTTTTGAATTCTGTTTTGATCATACATTTCACTAATAAAAAGTATTGCAAAGGGGAGGATTTTATATAAATCTGCTCAGCAGAAAATTAAAATTTGCTTTTTTTGAAATGCAAACTGCCAAGGTTGTCAGAGAATTTTATTTTTTGTTAATATTTTTGTTTAAAATTTTGTTGATTTGTTTAAAATGGCGTATTTCACATAAAACTAATTTGGATTAATTAATATATAAATAAACTAAATAAAGAAAATTTTAAATGTTATACTTGCTTTAAGTAACTGAAAATTGATATTTTTTAAATAAAAAATTATAAATCTACCTGATTTTTCCAAGATTTAAAAAATCTAAACCTTTAATTAATACAAGTTTCTTATTGTAAAAGTCAATTTAAGGATTTCATAATTATTCTTTATCTTAAAAAGTAACAATTCTAAATTGACAAATATCTAATATTCTTTAAAAGCTGCTTTAGTTGCTATTTGATAAAATAATTTTCAATGAATAGACTTGCATGGTAAGTCTATTGATACCTTTATTGTTTGAGTTAATCTCGTAAGCCTTCAGGTTCAAGTAGAGAGACCAAAATAGCACAATGCAACTAACACGGTGTCGCACTAATCCGGCAAAATTAGTTTCAAATTCCTGCCTTTAGCGACAGCGGCAAGTTGCGGCGATAATCTTTCGACTACATAAACAACCAGGATTAGAATAAGTAAGGTGCGAGCGGCCGGGCAGTTGGGCTTACAAACAAATTCAGTTAGTCCGAAGTTGTTTGCGAGCCAATTAAACGAGTTGCGGCCGAAGCGAGCAGGCCTCGAGGACCGAATCAGTTGGAGCGACTGAATTTTGAGAGTTAGTGGGTTTCGCGGCAACAAAAGCCGCTGCCGGTGCTGCTGCGAATCGACGCAGATTAATAATCCTCTTTGACACAATTGAGCGACGCGCCGTGCACTAATTACTTCGTCAAACGGCGCGCTGGCTGGCGCTGATAATGAAGTTGGCCGGATTGTTATTTCATCGCACGCGGGCAGGCGGGCGGGCCCGATTGATTTTTAATTTATGCAAAGTGCTCCGTCCTTGTTCTCCGGCGGGTGGGGCGTGATTGATCAGCCCTTCGTCTCGTGATATATCAATTCGCCTCCCCTAGCTTTGTTGATATCCCTCCTCGGCTGCACACAACTCCTTCGCACCAATTTTTGCTCGTCGTTCGTGCTCAAATTAAACCGCCAGCGACGAGTGTGCCGTCTTTGTTTTGCCGGGTAGCGTGGGTGGATCGAGACGAAGTAAGCAAGTAAGTCGTCGAGTTTATTTTCTTATCAAGAACAAGAACATGAAGTCGGGCCTTTATTGCGTTCGTTCAATCATGTCTTCCTTTTTGTGCGGAAAATGTGCGTTGAAGATAAATATAGGTTTAAAAAACATATTTGTCTAGAAAATTACTTTCCAGTTTCATTTTATTATTATTATCAAGCATAAATCAATTAAATATTTTGTAAATCAACAATCAGATAATACATATTTTTCTATATTTCTATTTGGTCATTTTTCGCGTAAATTATAATTTGGAATTTGAGAATTTTCACCATAAAGTTCACTTCTGCAGCAAGCAGGGAGTACAATCTTTTAGGAAAGACTTAGAATTATTTTATATCAATATTAATTGAAATCAATATTAATTGAATGAAAATCTTTTTCACAGATCGTTTCCCAAAGTTAGCTAGAATAATTTTTAATTATACTTATCTGAATATCTTATCTATAATGAATAAAAAGAAAAAATACAATCGTAAAAACTACCGACTTCAATGAAATGAAATTAAAACGTAAATATACTTTTATTTTACAGAAAATTTGTATATCATCATTATTTTCTGATTTCAAATGAAACTCAGAAGACTGCAAACCTTCTATCTACAATTTCAGTTAAAAAATGAGTTTATTTATTTACCATTGTAAAAGTAGATGACTTGTAAATTCAAAGTTAGGCAACCGGCGTTTTTTATCTGTCGAGCAAGTTGCCTAACTTTAAAAACCTTATCGCGCGTCTTTTCCTATGCGAACGAAATTAATTAAATTATAATTTATTACTAATCTCGTATTGATAATGTCGAAATTAATTTTTCAACTGTTTCAAATAATTAAACTAGTTTCCAGAGCCCTTTTTTAAGAATTAAATGATTTTTTTCTAATTAAATTTGATTAAAAAACTTTATTCTCCGAACAAATTCACCCTCGATAATATCTAACCAAATCACATCATTTCAAGAACAGATTCATTTTCTAGCTCCATTTGACAAGATGACGGAAAGCATCAAAACCCACAATGTTTGGATAAAGAAAGGGTTTTGAGTTGCCTCCATTTTAGAGCATCCGCCGCGAATATAATGAGCTTGCATTGAAAACTCCCCTCAAAAATTCACAGGAGTTAATCCGAGTGGCGCCTAATCCGAAATTTCTCTTATACGCTTGGCTTTATTTTCCACAAGACTTGTTCTTTCGCGAGAGCTAAATATAAGGAGGAGGGCATTTGTTTTGCTTTCGCTAATGCGTTTTGTTTTTGAGCCGGCGAGGCGCATTATGTCGAGATTTCTACTTCAACGCCGCCGCGTCTACTTGTGCCGCCGCCGTAACTCGACTTTTAGCAGCAGATAATATTTCGCGCCGAGGAAGAGGAAATGAAGATGAAAGACTACAAATGAAAGCAACATCCCGTGCGCCGCGCTAGTTTTTGCACCGCTTTTGTCGACGCCAAGATTTCTCGCTCTCTGTGAAATTTATGCGCGCAAATCTCTCAAGGCTCTCCGTCTGTGATGACGAGGCAAAAAGCGGAGACTGATTGACGAGCGCGCAATCACTCTGACCGACTCCTTTGGGGATGACAAAGGAGCTAATTAGGCGAAATGAAGAAGTAAAGTATACGCATTCCCACCAGGAATTTACAGTGCTTTCACAAAATAATAAAAGCCGATTCGAAAATTAATATAAAGTGGATCTCGAGGCTTCCGTGTAATATTGAGTTTCCCATGCAAATGTTCATGAAATATGATCAGAATTTATAACTATTCAAACAATCGTAAAGATCAATGAAATTTTGTGGTCACGCTTATATTTTAAAATCATTTTGATGGGGGAAGAGATTTTTTACAGAGTTCTACGAAATGCTATTTTGTTTAATTCCAAAAATTTGCTTAAATAATTTTAAGTTTATTTATATAAAAAGAAATCAATTTTGTAACTAATTAAAAGTTAAATTAAAAATTTTCAAGTAAATATAAATATTAGTAATATAATTCTGTCCGCATTCTTTTCATTTCATTTTACCATGTCCAATTTTTATGAATGCCTCTGGACGAGGAAGATGGCCGCGGGCGAAAAGCAATTTCGCCAAATGAAAAGCCGTCACAGGCCCTTTTTGTTATTCCATAATGTGCGGTCGCTCTTTCTGTCTCTCTCACTGGGTATGTGCATTATATACAAATTGTGTACTTTTCGTTTCGTGCGTGCCTTTTTTCCTTTTCTTTTCTGCTCCGAAGCTGAACTCATTTTATGGCGGCGCCCGTTTTATGAGCTCCGCAACAGTAAGCAAGTCGTCGTCGTCGTTATTTAGGCTCACACGCGCGACCAAATTATTAAAGTTCCAAACTCGGTTTTATGCCACAATATTTTTTTTTTTTGCAAATTAATTTTGCGCCAAGGACAAAGCTGCTGATGACACATTTCTCCTCTCTTTACAAAATTTTCAAGTTTTTGGCCAAGCTGTTTGCAAAACACAAATCAGCCGCCGGAAAATTGAATTTTGCAACACGCACGGTTTGCTTGTTGGCGCGGAAAACCACACATAGGTGGGCCAAAAACCCGCTTTCGTTGTTCGAGCGTGCAACGCATTTGGTTTTTGCTAATTTCATCAATTTCGCTTTCGGCCGGCGAGCTCTTGTGTTTATATATGAGGAAAGTTGCCCAGGGTAAACATTAATTTAGGATCCTTTTGTCCATTAAAAACTGTGTTAAGCCAACTTTAAAAGGGCACAGTTCATTGATAATTAATGGTTAAAATTAGATTATAAGTTTGAATATTTTGAATAACACCGATCTATAAATTGAGACGCTGGGTATTAAAATTTTTACAAAAATATTTAGAGGTCTCCAGTTTTGATTAAAGTTTTCTCTTACGCATTTAAAATAGTATTTATCGTCTGTACTAAAAAGATTGAATTTAATATAATTTCTTACTTTTTACACTTTATTTCTTGATTGTTAAATTCTGTATCTCATAAAGCTAGAAAGTAAAATTTTTATTTAGAAATTTTAAATTTTAGGTGAAGTCCTTCTTCATCTTTGACATTTGCTCTGATTAAATTTACAAGTTAAAAAAAATTTAACCGTATAAATTTTTATGCAGAAAAATTTGGCCTAAAAGTAAAAAAAAGATGCATTTCTTTCTGAGGTATTCATATCAAAATTAAAATTTTGAATAAGTGTCAATTAAACATTAATAAATATTTTAATTTGAAATACCAACGAAAATTTCAAACAATCATGGTTATAACAATAAATATAATAAAATAGATACACATCAATTGTTTTAATTTATAATATAAGTGTAAGTAGAATTGAACCAATAATAATCGGTGAAATAAAACTGAACAAAAGTCACAAACTGCAAGCATATTAAAAAACTAGAATGCAGCTGACGCAAATGCATTCTGGGGTATGTAATTAATCAAACGCGTCATCTGCATCAAATTACAGCTCAATACATATCACTGCACAGGTACAAAAGCAGCTCTCGTCACTATAATGACATTTCACAATATTTCTGCATTGGGGATTTCACAATTAAAGATTGCAGTGCCGTGCAATTAAATGATGCGCTCATATATTATTTCTGGACGAAATGCAATTTAATTACACTTTGAAATGGAATCGATCGTGGCGCCAACAAAGCAAGCAACCACGCACGCACACAAACGCGGCAGCTGCATTTAATTGAGACGATGAATGACGAACAGATCGAATGTTGAAAGGCTGCCAGCTCGCGCGTAATCAACAGAGGCGAAAGTTAAATTCAAAGAGCATTTTTCAACCGCCGACATTATTTAATGATCCGAAATGGCGGCCGACGCAGGCATGATTTGTAGCCGCTTTCAAGAGCAAACTTTTCAATAGTCCTGCTTTTACATCCATGGCGTGCGTCGTCGTTACCGAGTGGAGGAGAGAATTAGGATGAATGTAGGAGAGACCCTTACGATTTTACTTTGAGCTGGGTCTAACGGGAGTATTTCAATTCAAAAGCTTTTGAGTGCAACTAAACAAAATTTTATATCACATTGCATTATCTCTCCGACTCAACTCGATACATAATAATCAACTTTTCTTAGAAAAAAAAAACACGAACAAAAAAATTGAAACCATTTGAATTTAACATTAATTTTATACTTCTTCACTTATTGGTTTATCTCAAGCCAATCTTTGCCATAATTCAAAATTTAAATGTTACAAGCATTAAAAATATTAAAATGCTATGAATAATACATGATAAAAAAAATTAAAGTTTATTCTGCTTACTGAAGAAAATCTCTAAGAAATATTTATATAAATTTAACGAAAATGGTTTTAGTTTTAAGATTTTTATGCCACATTAATTTAATTCAAAAACGTTTTTTAAATATTAAAACAATATTTTTTCTTAGTTCAGGAAGTTTTTACTACTATATTCTTTTTCTATAATTAGCATGTATTATTTAGTTCTGAAATTTATAGAAATAACAATATAGACAGTGGGTGCCATAACGTTAAATTAAAAAAAAAAACATTTTCTATTTTTCATTGATCTTCTATATCCTTGAATGTATACAATAATTTATTTTATTTTATTAATCAAAGTTCCCTTATTGACATAATAGGAAATTCAAGTTTCTACAAAAGTGGTGATAAAATTACCAATTGTTTCGAAAATTGCTATAATTGAGTTCAATTGTTGTAAAGACTTGATTTTTTTTATTAACCAGCAAAAAGTCCTTACTTAGTTAAAATTTTATTTGAATTAAATCACAAACAGATTTCGTATGGGTCTAAAAAGATACGTATTCAAAATTCCATTGTGTATGTAAGAAAATTTTAATCAATATTGACCCCAAATAATCGAGGCTGAACTTTATAAATTGATATAATTTATTGCTGTAAATATATAAAGATAATTTTAAATGCGAAATCATTGGTTTTTGTTCACATCCGTCCGATTTGTCATACTGTGAACTCTGACACTTGACGCGCAGTGGCAAACGTGATTTTTCACCGGCCGTTATTAATTACGGTCGGAGCGACGGGCATCATGTTTGTCAGAGCAATAATCAAATGACTGCTGTCGTTCTGCCTCGCTTACAACATGCATTATTATTGTCTACATTTCGACGCAAAATTTACACAAACACGCCGAGCGAGCGTAACGAACGAAAATATTTATTTATGCCGGGCGCTTTTTCCTGTGTCGGCAGAATAATGAGTTGCAAAAAATGCTCATTATTTCCACCGGCGCAAAAATCAAAAGCCTCCAGATGTTTTGCGACGAACAGAAGTTGTTGCAAAGTTTCTTTTGTCCGGAAAAATAATGATTGAATGTTACATATATTAAAAAGGACACAAATAATGCATCAGTTTGATGAGTAAAAAATTTCGGCTTGGCCACCGATTGGTGCAGAAAACAAAAAGCCTCTCGTTTGAAATGGTGATGGCGTCCACAAAAGAGGTGCGACGTGTGCAAATTTTTTGCCCTATTCATACGTCAGCTTTCCAGCACGTCACGCTTTCAAACTCCCGGAGTTGACGAAACATTGAAATAACTTTCCACGCTTAAAAAATTTAAAAGCTTTGCATTTTCCTGAGAATACTGATTCTATAGATGAATTTACTAGAGTGAATTAAAAAAAAGCAAAAAAACTCTTTGATGTCTGATAAGCCATGGATGAACCAAGTAAGCTGTATAATTATCCTTTATGCTACTTTAGCCTTTTTATTAAATAAATTATGATATAATTAGAAGAAGATCAGATAAATTGCTAAAATCAATTTATGATTTATTTTCAAACTTTTTTATGGGACATTAATTAACTGCAATATAAATAACCTGAATCCTGGGCTGATTCTCTCCCCCACATCTGATTTAGTAACTCTTGAGGTTTCTGCTTGGTCTAATTGACCTGATTTCCATGGATGAAGACCCTCTGGATGGTGGCCCGCTCACTGCCATAAGTTTCGACAACACTTATTCTGAGAAATTTGACAGGAGCGTCGTCGTCTTTGCCCTGAAGTTCGAGTAAAATAATCAATTTCAATCATTTTTAAAGCTGGTTGAATTTTACCTTGTAGTAAAAGTCCTGCGACTTTTTGTGCAGCTCATAGGTCACTCTCATCAGAGCTTTATAGACGTTGTCATCAGACGACCCCTTTGGAGCGAAAAATAATTTATTTATAATAGAAATTTATAAAATAATATAAAAACCTACATAAATGACGATCTCTTTCGGGGTCGTTGCTTTTGAGTTTTCATTCATTTTCAGAGTGATCTTCTTGAGGGCGATTGCTTTTTGTAGCTCGATTTTTATGGAACGTTTGGTCCCCTCCATGCAGGCGTACTCTTGATTGTCCTGAATGTTCACAACACATTAATGCGTGATTTTTATCAAATTCAGGTTAAATTAATTACCTCGAGAACGGATTCGGCAGAACAGGTGGTGCGATGAGTCGGCCAAATTCCAAGAATCCGTTGCACAGAAACGTCGCACGGTGTCACTCCCACGTCGTAGGTGGCCTTTGCGCCTAATTACCAAAAAAAAAAAAATTTACCCAAATCCATTTTTTCTTCTTCAAATATTTTTACCAGTCATATGGACGTGCTTCTCTCCAGAGAATGCTGAAACCAATCCTTTGCCCAAGTGGATGTTGCGCGTGAATCCTGCCAAAATCAAAACGAAATTCTTGGGGTTCTTTGACCATGGAGAGTTTTACTTACCAAAGTTGACAGTGAAAAAGAAGATGACCGCGGCCGAGAACCAGAGGTTCAGGTAATTACGGTAGGCCCAGTTCTTCATCTGCCTGGCTGAGATCCATCTGAAAAATTCCATGGCGACTTTTTCGAATTTCTCAACGATTTTTCAAATTCCGTAAGGTGTGTCGTGTGTTCGTTTCGATTGTTGGTTAGAATTCTTAATTTTCACCGTTTTTCGTTACCTAGCAACAATTCAAAAACATTTAACAGGTGATTAAATTAATCCCATTGTTGAAAATTTGAGACGCATTTTTTTATGAAATAGTTAAAATTTTATGGGAAATGTTTAATCTGATTAAAAAATTATAAGCAGTACCCCTATTATTTGAATTTAATTATGATTTTTTTTTTAAATCCAATGCCAATTTTGGTTTTATAAAATCGCTTGATTATTTCTACATTTATAATATTATTTCTTATTTCCATTTTATTCACATCGTGGAATTTACTTTAAAAAAAAAAATAATATTGAAAGAAAATTAGTGGCATCCTTTTATAAAATTGTAACTTTTCACTTAAAATCCCTCAAATATCAATCACTAGCATGCATTTTTTTTTTAATTTCATCACTTGAAAAAATTGTTTTTCATGGCTAGTGGAATTATGATCAATAGCAGGATGCAACTTTTCTCCGCTCCATCATGTACTTGGATGCACTTCTCGTCGATCGAAAGCTATTGGAAACACGTACAACTCTATGTAACTCGTAATGGACTGTCGGTGCGACTGGAGCTGCTGGTTTGACGGCGATAGCAAACTTCCTCTCGGCGAGTTTATTCAATTTTGAAATCCGCTTTTATTTTCATGGTGTACTATGTACCTCGGCTGAATGGATACTTTTATCAGCGAATGCCGTTCTCCATGACCAAACTGCAGAGCGGCACAATTTCACATTGCGAACTTTTTTCAACAGGAAGCGCCTCTTTTAGGTCATTTAATACTGTCGAGTTTTGTTCCAAATGAATGTGAATTAAAATCTTTTTCAACAGAACTACCTTTTTTGCTTACAAAATTTATACAAATTGAAGATAATCCCAAGAGGAGAGCAATTAAATCTAAAAACTTTATCAATTTTTACCAAATCGATTTTGTTTCATTTTTAGCCTCCATTGGCGTTTTTTTAAATACTTGAAAAACTTTCTATCCACGTTACTCATCTAACAAAAAAAATTTAGAATAAATGTAAGAAAATCATATAAAAAAAAACAACATAATATTTTTCTCTAACAAAAACCTTGGTTGAAGTTAAAAAAAAACTTTAATTAGGAAAAAAAACATTTATTTCTAAGGTACATCCGAGTTTCTAGCTGCCTTAAACGTGTTCATCAAGTTTCAAAGCATTTAACTTTTTTCAGTGCGTTTTAAAAAGCTATGGTGAAAAAAGTATAATTTTGACGAACAATTTGCTATGAATTTTCAACTAAAATTACTTCTATTTATCAATTGACCTTCCTTTCTCTCATTGTAAGCAACATCAATACGATTTATTTTTTTGTAACTCATTTTTCAGTTGTATACAAAAATAAATGCACCTTTCCACATTAACGACCCTATTCATTCTAAACTCTTTCGGGCTTGCTGCTGTACAAAACGGTGTGGCTGGTAACCTTACAAATATGACCAGCTTTCAGGCGGTCTCTGGACAAAACTGCGAGTTGGTCGGTTTTGAAAACGTGAGTAAATTGAGTCTTCTGTACAGACGTGGAAAACGGATTGAAAAGCGGCCGTCGGCGTGAATGGGTTCGTTTCGCGAGTGGAGCCCCGAAAATAGCCCGTGTGACATTTCCCTCTCTCACTGTGAGTGTGCATTATATATCCATTCGTTCAGAATTAGATCACACTGGCTGTAACCAACTCTTGTCGTGTGTATGTTGTTGACAAGAAGCGACCTGAGGGCAAGTCACTTTTTTATATTAATTTGAATTATAATTTTTATTCACTTTAATGACAATTTTGTTTTAAAAGTTAAAATTGTCTTTAGCATTAGAAAAAAACTCACAAGTCTAGTGCATAATTGTAAAATTTCACTCAATTTCATAGCATCTTTTGGAATATTCTGTAATTTTTAACAAATATTTCATATTTCTGCTTATTATTGGCGCTTATTTTAAAATCTAGATTATTATTGAAATTTATTTATGTAATAAATAACTTAAGATCGCTTGAAATGTTGACTATTTAAAGTGTAGACAAGCAGAGTATACACTTGATAATATTATAGGAGAATTAGAATTTAACTTTCAATGAAATATAATATTGCATATAATTATATCAAAATAATAGATAGAATGATTATCTTTAGATAAAAAGTAATATGCTCACATTTTTCTCCAAAGGATTGATCTTTTCCACGTGTTGCTTTTCATCTACAACATATACGTATAATGTGGGAGTGGCCTACGCATGTGGAGAGTGCGAGCTGGAAACAAAACCCCACCAGCCGACCGGCCGACCGACCGCAAATCCACCCATTCAAACGGTGCACAACAGCTTGCTTGTATCTGATAGCGGGCCAAATATTAATTTCTGAAAGCGGCGTATCAAAGAGGCCCGTGCTAAAGTGAAAGGCCCTGGGGACGGCGACATTATCGGCCCTGCTCACTAACGAACTTGACAGGCTCGATGTTTGCTGGCGAGTGTATAGAGAGACCCACCCGTCTGCTGACAGGAGCGACTTTGCACGTTTGAGTTTTGAGACGCACTTTCTGATGAGCCTCTGATGGTCTCAAATATGGAAGGTCTCACAGATTACAAAATTCAGTTTGAATCAGTATTTAACACAGATTTTTGCTTCCTTTTGTTTATTTGCAGCAATTTTTTTTCAGATGCAATTTTATAAGTCTTAAAAAAATTCTGCTAAAAGTTTATAAAGACTTTACAAAGCATTTGTTTCTTAATATTATTTCCAAAAAATCTTATTCAAAACAATTAATTTTATTATTCTTATTCGTAGCTTCAAAATAAAAAATATAATATTTTTGAATTCATGATGCAATTTTTGTTTATACTTCAAACAAAATTGCTTGATTTATTTGTTAATTAAGCAATTTTTGCAAAATATCTACATTAAATTTCTCAGTTCTATGTTTTAACGGAAATGGCTAATTAATTCACCTATGACAAGCAATTTTAGACTGAAATGACAAAATATCTTATTGATAGAATCACACTGTATTTTAAGGGATTATCTTTGCAACTCATCAGATGAGCAAAATCTCTCAAGTTAAAAAAAAATTAAAAAAATTCAAATTCATTCCCTGTGAGCTTACATTATTTACAAAGAAAATATCACTCTTTTGATGATGTTTGGATTTCCTCTCATAAAAAAAAAACAATGCCACTTTTCCTTAGAAAAGCACGATCCTCGCCGCAGAGTGCAAAATCCACTCGCTCAGCACATTTCCTTCCTGCACTGCTATTTCAGGCAAAAAGTGCATCGTTAACGCCTTCGACTTCAAAGTTCCCCTTGTCGCGCGCGTCAAACCACTTTTCCCTACTTAAATTCCATTAGAAACTTCATCCTCAGTCCAACCTGTTGAAGAATCTGCGTCTCGCTGCAAAAAATCTCGCTATACGAAAGATAAAACAATGGGGAGGGAGGCCATATTGGAGCAGGAATTTGCATGAAAATCGGCCATTGTGTGGGTTGTCAGCGCTGATCCAGGTGTTTTATTGCACTCGTGATTTATTTCAATCCGCCGGCATTTAATTAAGTGCGCAATCCGACAGCTTCGGCAACACAACCGTCCCTCGGACAATGGCGAGCGTCCGTGTTTGCCTGGCGAGGAAAATCGATTATTTCGGGCCAGAGGTGCCAATACCGCGTGTAATGCCTTTGTCGGCGCGTGTTGCACCGCAGGCGCGCCCCACACTCTCCTAATAGCCCGCCCGCCCGCCGACGAGCGAAATTTATTTGCGGTCGGTGCGAAAATTCAGCAGACTGCTCCGCACGCCGTATTTTTGTAATGTGCAAATTCCTGATCGCCATTTGCATATTGTGGTGGAAAAAACAAACTATGCAAAATGGGAGGAAAACTGATTAAATGTGGTCCGTAATAAAGGGCTTGCAGGGTTATTTCAGAGGGGAGAAGTGCCAAATATTCTAAAAATCTGCATGAAAAAAAACCATTTTTATGAAGGGGAAAATATTTGATTTGAGCAACTGAATTTTCATATTAAAAGATTTTTTTTTTAATTTGCTGAAACTTAAATCTGCTGATAAATTATGAATTTATTTTCCTTTCTATTAAAACAATAAAATTTTTCCTTCCAACAATTTTTCCTAAAATTTTCCAACAATTGGATAAGCAATAAAAAAAATGAGCACTGACAAAAAAGTTTTGGGCAAATCATTAGAAAAATTGAAGACATCTAAAATTAAATTAAATATTGACAAACATGAAAATTTATTAAAATCAACTTGAGAGAATCCAATCTTAAAGTTATTAAGGCCTTTCGCAAAAGTCAAATTCATACTTCATACTAATTTTTTTTTTTTAAATTCAATTTATCTGTCTTGCATATTAATTAAATAATCTACTTTCATTTCAAATTTATTTCAAAAAATTTTTCCTGGACATATCTCAAATACTTTACTGCTCAAGTTAATTGTCCTGCACATCATTCTAGTCATTTTTTAACTGAAATACGTATTTTTGCCCAGTTCATGATTGTAGGCGAGGCAGAGATCTTGCCAACCATTAATCCTAGTGTGAATTACGTGCGGCCTCGCAAAACTCGCGCCAAACGCAGATTTCCATCCCTTTTTTTCCGCGGCAGCACATAAAAAAGCCATCCGTTGGCAACGTCAGTTAGTCCCCCACTAGGTCGCGCGCGTTTTTCGCAGGAAAAATCGCCGGCTCGGCAGAAAGAAGAGAAATCGCCGGCTCGGCGGCGGGGCGCATTCGGGCCATTTGTTATGGTTTATTGGGCCGAGGCTGATCTCTCATCCACCTGACCCCCGCCGGCATCCTCAAATTGTGCTCCGCCCGTACTATTATATATAAATAGGGGCTGCTTTCCCGCAACCGTTTGCTGTCGGCTTTTGCACAGCCCATATAAAAGCTAGTGGCAATTACTCAAATTAAGCCTCTCCCGACAAGTTGGCCATTAAAGGTCAAGGTCACTAATAATTTATTTTTTCGAATTTGAAATACAAACAAATTTCATGATTGGTGTAAAAAAATAAGAGAATGATGACATTTTTCCCCGCTAAAATTATCCGACCACTCTAATCAGTAAATCTCTAAGTCGGTCAATTATGTAACTATCAGCCTTGAGATTCAAATTCTTTTGGCGGGAAAGATGAACCTTTTCGACGTATAGAGTTGATGATTTTCTGATCAAGCTTTTGATTATTGTGAAATGTGTTTTAAGGGTATTAAAATTTTCTGGGGTCTTTAAAAAACGTCTATTAATTTCTCATCATCACCACACGCCTCATTTCTGACATTTAATTTACCATTCTATGAAAGCATAAAATTGATCCACGATGAATATCACCGCTCCCTTTATTTTCGCATTGTGCGCAAATGGGCCGCCGTGCTACGGCATATTTACTTGCTGGGACGCGATGATTGCGATTTCTACCTCCTCGGTACGTCCGTCCGTTCCATGCGCCTTTCTTCTTGTTCACTCTGGCACGCCAGCAGCCCAAGTTTGTTTTTCCGTGGCGGCCTTTTTATTGGAGCCGGCTTTTCCGGGACGTGTGTTTACAGAGACGCCTTTTTGCCGAGCAAAAATCCGATTATGACGAGCAGATAAAATGGGCCTAGCGGTAAAAAAAACGCGTATGCAAATCTGTGGTGCCTGGCTTGACATTGATTTTGATTTTTTTCAAACGGATTTTTGACTACTAGACTGAAGAGAAATTTAAATGAAAATTAATGGACATTTTTTTTTGGTTTGAAAAAAATTTGATTCTAAAATGTTTTGCTGTTGGATTGTTTATAAAGTTTATAATAGTTATTTATTAAAATTAATCATGTATCATGTTAAATGACCAAAAGAGCAAAATTATTATATTTAAATTGAATAATTTTTTAGAAATTAAAATCCGAAGGAACCACTTAAAACGAGAAATAATTGAATTAGTAACTTTTTTGTCTAAAACATTTCACGACTCGGAACGTAATTCCACGTAAAGGCGCGATTAGTCAAAAGTTATCAAAAGTTACTAAATTATGTAATTTTTATTTAAATCAATAAAAGAAATCTCATTGAAGCGATAATTTTCTTCAAAAGTTTCTAATTCAAATTAAATTGTGGAGAAAATTTCATGATTTTTTTTTATCATGATAAAGAAATTTAAAAGTGATTTTTTTTTTCAATTTTAATCTTCTTGGATAGCAAAAAATGATGATTGCCAACTTTCGTGAATAATTTTCTCTTCAACCGTCTGTCTGGTTTTGTTTTGTATTGCGAAAATTCAACAAAACTCATCCTCGCAAAAACTTCTCCAGATATTTCTTGTAGCGCAAATATTTCACGGCACGCGAACAAATTTATTATTCAAATATCTCCGCAAACACAGTTGCTGCTGAATGGGGGAGGCCCGCGATTCGAACAAGTGACGTCAAACAGAGGGCACAAAATAAGATCTGGCATTATATTCTGCAACGTTTCAAAGAGATGCGAATCGCGAGACGGCAAAGCAAACGCCCAAACGCAGAGAGAGATAAATCGTGGAAAAGAGCACAATAATTAGAGCTCTCTTTCTTTGAATTTGGATTTCGAGTTGGGCGTAGTTTGGCTCATCAGTCGCGCCAGAGAGAGAGAGAAAGAGAAAAAGGAAAGCACTTTAAACGGGCCGAGAGATATTTTATACAAATGGGGGCATAAATTTCGCCGAGCCAGAGGTATGTATTCCACTCCACAAAGGACAGACGCTCTTCCCTCTCTCGGCACCCACGCATGTTCCATTGTGCGACCCACTTTTTTCTTTTTTTTATCACGGAACACCATTTTCCACTTGAACATATATTCGCAGCACACACACTGCTTTTCCCTCGCATCAAACTGCGACGACACTCTTTCTATTTGATTCGGGGTGCGTGCGATTTTTCGCGATCTCCCCGCGGCTGGTCACGTGGCAACCCTTCTTTGTTCCCAGAGTTGTGTCTGATTAGGAAAGAGAGAGGATGCGTCGGCAACTAAACATCTCGCACGCCTCCGGGGACGATAAAAAATGATGGCGCGAATAAAAAAGCGAGGCCCTCATTTTTCCAAAAAAGAAAAGTCCTGATAAGAGATAAAATCGCCATTAAAATGAACGCACAATTTCAGTCTCAAGAACGGTACAAATGATTTTAATTTAAAATAATTTAATTTAATTGTGAAGCTGCCAAATAATAAATATCTTTCCTGACTGTTGTGCCTTAATTCACCATTAATTGAGATTGTTGCAAAGTTTTAATGCAACCTTGTCAAAGTCGATTACCTCCAATGATGCTTCTGATCTCAAAGTTTAAATTGTAGTTTTATTTGCTCACCAAAATATGATTTCAAATCTTAAATCTTTTTGACGCCTTCTTCTGAAGTAGTCAATAGAAAATATGCCAGGCATAAAATGTTCAAAATTTATTTAACTTAGTTGCATAATTTAATTGGCATTTATTAT